ATAAATTGGGAAAAATGGGTCATTCCAAGTAACTGGCCTAAGTATCGGAGGATCAGGAACATATGCCAACAAAACTTGGTCTTCAGACCTGGCACCAGGAACCTGACAAGAGAGAATAGTAAGCATAGCAATGAACATCATAGCAGGAGTGTGAGGAGTATCTTGAGAATCCACCAGACGTGCTGCTTCAGCACTGAGTCGCTTCATCTGGGTCCATGTTGGCAGGGAACTGTGATGGAAGGGGAATGTTGTTCTCTTCTTGCGGCGACGACGTGAGGGTTACGGCGTCAGGTGCAGGCATCTCAGACGAGGGATCAGGGTACCAGTGCCTCCCAACTGCTTGAAGTAGTCAAGATACAAAGCCTTGATAAGGTTCATCTGGCCCTTGTCTGATTTTAGATAGTTCCTCAGTTTTAGCTCCTGTAGAAGGCAACACCTTCCAAGCTTTAACAGCCAAAGTATTAATTTGAGCATAAGCTATATTAGGCATAACGGCTTGTGCATCAAGACTTTCATATTCACCTTTTCCACAAAGCATATCCATAGTAACTGGGATTTGATTTCTGCGATTATGCTCAGCTTGTTCATGAGCACGATCTTCGTAATCGGCTCTCCAAAGTAAATAATCACCACCAGCTAAGCAAGCTTTGGTTAATTGTCCCCAGTCACAGGGAGGAAGGGCTGAAATTGTTATGTTTTCTATTAAGGATATGGTATAAGGAGCCGTTGGTCCATACTGAGCTACCGCTTCTTTTAATTCCTTTAAAGTTTTAGGTGGGATGGGTTTATAATTACGGACAACATTTCCCTGATTATCAGTTACTTCTACTACCGGAAAAAGAGAGGGGAACATGTTATCATACTCAGAAAATCCTCTCTGGAGAGACATTAAAGCATGGGTAAGAGGAGTTATAGGAGCTGAATTAGTTGCCCTTAAAGTGATAGCACCAGACACAGGTGAATTTTCTTGTACTACGGGAAAACATCGTGGCTGGCGATTAGTTATAGCCTGTGAACAAAGTGTAAGTAAATTTTGGAATTGACACAGGAAATCAGGAAGCAAAGTAAGGGTAATGGGACCAGGTGTCCACTGTGGAGTCGGTGTCGTGTTTTCAGGCTGTGAAACAATGACCTCAGTTAGTGGGACATCAAAAGCATTAGAAACATATTCAGCATGATGACTATGTGACCCGTGCTCCACAATCTCATCTTGATCTGGAGGCACTGGAATTGAATCAGGAGGTTTAAAATCTAAAGTAGTTTGTGGCAGGTTTTGAGCTGGCTGTGTTAATGAAACGGTAGAGGAATAGGGTGGCGCACAAGGTTGGGACAACATAGAGGGACAAACGCATCCACGTAACTTGCTCCAAACAGAAAGTAAAACATTAGATTGAGGTAATTCTTTGTTATAAAAACAGAATTGTTCAATTTTTTCTCCAATAATGCTCCAAGTAGGTTCATCTAACACACCACCTTCAGGAATCCAAGGACAAATCTCACGTACTATTTGCAAAAACTCTTCTATCATTTTAAACTTAACATCATGACCCTGAGACTTTAACATAGACTGTAATAAATGAACAAACAATTTCTGCTCCTTCGGCTCGAGCTGCCCCATTTTACTCCAGATGAAATATCCTAACAACTTGTATGTACAATACTTATGTGAAACTTTAGAAACTTTTCTCAATATTTACAAAGAAAGAGAAGACAGAGTAAAAGGAAAGAAAAATTCAAACTTATGCCAACTTACCACTGCAGCCTCACTTCTTAGCGTCACCGAAGTCCCCAATGTCCAAGTCCCTTCATGGTGGTCACCACTTATCGGGAGCACGTCTGCCAGGAGCTCTTGACCTGCAAGAGGGTTCCAACTTGGATGGGGGGTGTGCGGAAGACAATGATAGACAGATGGGGTCTGGAGGGTTGAAAAGCATATGCTTTACCAACAACTTTATTCGTGCTCAGGGTCAGTATATATATCTTTTTTAGGTATGTGTCTATGTGAGACAAAGGGGTACAGAAAGTTTTAAAGTAGAAAAATCAACATCATAGGGTAAGAACAATGGAAAGGTCAGATACACAATTAACTGGAACAGGTAGTCACACTATCTCATCTAGGGGCAAGTCATTTAATTAACCAGAACAGGTGGTCACACTATCTCATCTAAGGGTAAGTCATTTATCTTCTAGAGAAAATCAGCAAAGTCGTAAAACATGACTTAGTAGAAAACTCAATTATCACATACGTAAAACACGTCTTAGTAGAAAACTCAATTATCGTACACAATGCATCTCATGACTGCATGGCCATCTGGCGATTGCCCACAAGTTTAACTTTAACCTAAGTCTTTCTCTCTTCCTGCTTTCTGATAGCTCGACTCCCTCAACTGGAGACACTGTGTCTGGGCTCGAGCCCTCCGTATTGTGAGGCCCATTTTTGGGGGGGCTCACAGGGGAGCATTCCCCAAAATTTGATTGTCTCTATAGACCTGATAATTTAAAAGGACCCTCATTCCTCAGGTAAAAGTTCTTTTCTTTCTTCATAGTGCTGATAAAAAATGTGTTAAGTGCCCCCAGAGCCCCAAAGACCTGTGTATGGGGACCTCTTCTGAGGGGACTGCTAAAACAATGCCTCCAAAAGTGTCAGAGCCAAACTGGAGAAGCAGGTGCATTTGAGGGACAGGAGTGGCAATTGTGCCCTCTAAGTAAGATGGATCAGGGGTCTTCACTCTCCCCCTGGAGGAAACTGGAACTGGCTGGAGCAGCTCTGCTCAGGCCACCTCTTTCCTCTGCCTTTGCTTCTTATGTGAAGTCTGACATTGTGACTTATAATAAAAAATGGAGCTCCTAAAATCCTTGGAATCTCCAAAATGTTATATGTCTTTTTGTAACTAATGAGATGACTAGGGGGATGGGGGCTCCTGGGTGGCCCCAGGATGGCACTGGTTGACAGGGAAACCAACCATGTGATTAGACAGTTGAAATATTCAAGCCCAGCTGACCACTGACTTCTGGTTTGGGAGAGGAGCTGGAGATGAAGTTCATCATCACCAGTGGTCAATGATTTAATCAATTATGCCTACAAAATGAAGCCTCCATTGAAAAATGCCAACATAATGAACACTTCCAAAAGGATGGTGTTGGGAGAGCTTCTGGGTTGGTGAACATGTGGACATGATGGGAAGGTGGCATGCCTGGAGAGGGCATGCAAGCAAGCTCCATGCCCCTTTCCCATATCTGGTCCCATGCATGTCTCCCACTGGCTGTCTCTGAGTTTTAGCTTTTTTCTTCTTATTTCAATAGTTTGGGGGGAACAAGTTGTGTTTGGATACATGGATAAGTTCTATAATGATTTCTGAGATTTTGGTGTACCCGTCACCCTAGCAGTGTACACTGTAACCATTGTGTAGTCTTTTATCCTTCCCTCCTCTCCCACCCTTCCCCCCAAGTCCCCAGCGTCCATTATATCATTCTTATGCCTTTGGATCCCCAAATTGTATCGTTTATAACTAAACTATTCCCCTGAGTTCTCTGAGCCATTCTAGCAAACTATCCAGTATGGAAGTGGGCTGTGGAAACCTCCAGTTTATAGTTGGTTGGTCAGAAACACGGGTAACAAACTTGACTTGCAGTTGGCATCTGAAACAGGGGTGGTCTTGTGGGACTGAGCTTATAATCTCTAGGCAAATAGTATCATAATTGAGTTAAATTATAGGACACCCAATTGGTGTCCCAAGAATTGGAGAAGTGATTGGTGTGGGGAAAATGTTCACACTTCTGATACCAGTAGGAAGGAAACAGGGTTTACATTTCAGAAACACACTGTCACTTTTAGGAAGAAGGGAGAAAAGACTCTTTCAGGGTCAACACCAACAAGCTACCTGACCCAGGATCCAAATTTGGAGATCAGTGAAGCAGGAAGGAGAACACGGAGGAGTCCACTTCTGCTTCTTTCTGGTCTTGCCAGCTCTGGAAAGTCATGCCACTGCTGCAAGACTCAAATTTCTGTTCATAAATTGGGATGATGGGGATTCCTACACCATATGCCAAGGTATAGTTACATCAAGGTGGCTAATGCCGTCTTCCCAAGGGGCTATTCCAAGGTTAAATTAAGTCAAGGCACAGTTAGGTTAGATGTAATTACAACAAGGTATAGCAATGTCAAGGTGCATTTACTTCAAGGTTTAGATATGGCAAGAGATAGTTATGTTAAGGTGCCATCATGTTAAGTTATAGTTACGTCAAGGTGTGTGCCATGGACTGAATTCTGTCCCCCACCTATCTTGCCAGCCCCCAAATTCATATGCTGAAGACCTAACCCCCAGTGTAACTATATTTGGAGACAGGGTTTTTAGGAGATAATCGAGGTTACATGAGGTCATAATGATGGGACCTTGATTCAATAAAGCTGGTGTCCTTGTCAGAAAAGGAAGAGAGCTCACACTCTTTGCCATGTGAGGACTGCAGTGAGAAGGCTGCCGCCTTTAAGCCAGGAAGAGAGCCCTCACCAGGAATGGAATCACCTGGCACTTTGATCCTGGACTTTTAGCCTCCAAAACACCGTGAGAAATAAACTTTTGTTGTTTAAGTCGTCTGGTGTTTTCTTATGATGGCCTAAGCCGACCAAGAAGGTAAGGTTATGCCAAGGTGCAGCTGAGAGGTGCATGTGCAAGTGTGCCTGAAGTAGATTTGAAAGCCTATGAAGAAACATACACTGATTTGCATCATCACATATGACAGGAACCTACCCCGTGATTTTCTCTCAGCCATGAGAGGAAACAATCCCAGCACTTTTGCATTAAAATCATGGAGCTATTTCTCGCTGCAGGGTTAAGGCTCTAAGAGAACTGGGGGGGCCTTCTGGAGGCAGGGATCTGGTTGAGAGATGGGTTCGGTTACCTCAGTGCCCCACTAGGTGGCGCCTGAGCTCCGCGTGAAGGCTGAGAGTGGCAGTCCTCGGGTGACGTCAGGTGGGCGGAGCCGGGAACCCGGCCCGGCCCAAGCGTGGTCTCCTGATCTTCCCAGGAAGGCGTCACGCGCAGGCGCAGGAGTGAAACGGAGGTTCCTGGAAGAGGGAAGAAGCACTTCAGCTTGAAGCGCCTTTTGTTCGGTCTGGTCACTGAGCGCTCGCAGCGTCCTAGGGCATGCCTGCGCGAAAGGGGGACACCGGCTCAGGCTGGCGGCTCCCGGGGCAGCTGAGGGAACATGGCTAGGAACGTTGGGGTCTCAGGGCTGCAGGGGAAGAATCGTGACTGTCCATACATTGTTCAAAGCCAACCGGTTTCCTTCATCAGCCGCTGCTGTCTGGTATGTATCCAGATCTCTAGAAGCTTCCAGGGCCACCTTGACCTGCCCCAGCTCCCACCCTCCCTCTCCAAGGCCCTAGAAGACAAATTTACACAGGTGTTTCTCTCACCCTGGGCCCTGTTATTTGGCTCCACCTGCTGCTGAAATTCTGCCCCTGGGTCCGAGGAGGGGCTTCCCCAGCGAGAAACTGACTCCCACAGTCTGGGGCACATGTCCTTCTCTCCGTGCCTCAGTTTACTTATCTGTGGACTGATGGACATACACAGATCTCCTCCAAGGCCCTCCCAGGTCACTACAACCTCCTAGAGAGGGGCAGAGTGCACCGCTGGGCCACTTTCATGCAGTGAAAGGGCAGGTCATGAGGCCCGAGTCAAATGCCTCCTTTTTTTTTTCTTCTTTTTTTTTGAGATGGGAGTTTCGCTCTTGTTGCCCAGGCTGGAGTGCAATGGTGCGATCTCGGCTCACTGCAACCTTTACCTCCCAGGTTGAAGCCAGTCTCCTGCCTCAGTCTCCCAAGTAGCTGGGATTACAGGCATGCTCCACCACACCCAGCTAATTTTGTATTTTTTTTTTTTTTCTTTTTAGCAGAGACGGGGCTTCTCCATGTTGGTCAGGCTGGTCTGGAACTCCCAACCTCAAGTGATCTACCAGCCTCAAAGTGTTGGGATTACAGGCATCCATCCGTGCCCTGTCCTGAGGTCCCTTCCTAATCAGGCTCCTTTGGTGTGGATTCAGGAGACACAGATGTGGCAGAGGCTGAGATCTTCTGGGAAGGGTACAAACCTCGGGGTAGGTGCCTGCTGGGACAGCTATGATGTTTGGTTTCAGCCCAAGCTGGAAACATTAGTTCTGTGGCATGCATGTCTGCCCTGGGACAGGCGCTTTAAAGAACCCGGAGGCCAGGAGCGGAATGAGACAGACCTAGAGGCCTCACTTCTTAGGGTGAGGGGTCACTGGCCCCAGCTGAAAGTGGAGCGAAGGGGAGGGGAAGGACTTATTTGGGGCCTCCTAGCAAGTGTGACCTACTGAAAGTTACCAGAATGATTGCTGGTCAAGCACATGGGTCCTTCTGGTCTAGGATCATCCTGCTGGAGCTCTGGAGGATGAAGGGAGCTTGGTGGGGGAGTACACTGGGAACAGCATGAGGAAGGGCTCCGGCACAGCAGCAACCAGCTGGCTGATGACTGGCAACAGGGCCTGGGCTAGGGTCCAGCCCTCAGGGATTGGCTGTTGCTGTGACTTCCTGCAGGGAATGGGGAGCTCTAAGTAAGGTGGGGATTTAAGCCATGAGTGGCAGATCCTTGTGCCTACACTGGCCACCTGGGAGCTTGGCCACTGCAGGGAGGTGACCTGATTCTCTTTGGTGGTTGTGTCCTCTCGAGAATCTGTGTACTTTGAATTCACTAAGAACTAAACCTTGCCATTTTGGGTCCACATCAGGATATATATGGAGATAATTATACTTTTTATTAGGCTTAGTAATTATTATAATAGCAGTGTTCTTAGAGCCTTGGAGATCGAAGCCCTTGCATGAACATTTTCTCCATGGCCATTGGGGTGTCTACTTGTCAGCAGATGTGGCAGATGTTCGATGACACCCTCACCGTCCCCCAGGGAGTGCTGACTTCTGGATCAGGTTGGCCCTAGGGCTGCCATCTCAGAACCCTGTAGACCTAGAGGTCATATCTCTGAAGGATCCAAGGGTTCTCCTGGATGACTTGCAAGCTCTGAGCAGACTCCAGCTTGCCGGCATTGGGGGAAGGCTTCAGACCTTGGCCTCTATCATTCCTACATGGAGCCCATATCTCCAAGGAGGCTGGGAGGTCCTGTTTGGGGGTCAGTTTAAATGTAAAGAAGCAGAATATGGAGAGTTTGGGAACCCAAGGAGGGGACAAAAGACAGAATCAGGACCCAGTCTTAAATACTTTTTGACAGATTGCTGGCCACCTACTCATGCCAGGCTTGGCCTTGGGTACTGGATGCTAGGATAAATGAGAAATGGCCTCTGCCCATGAGGGGTTCACATTCACTGGAAAAGACAAACAGGGGTGCCAGAAAGAGGGAGGTCAAGGTCCTGGGGAACTGAGCCCCAAACCCCATTTCTCACTCTTACTGCCCATGCCCCCTGCATCTGATCATGGCCGGAATTTGTCCTTGCCTTGTGCCTTTAACTATGGAGAATGCTGGAATTTTTTAGAAATCCAGTTTCACAGAATAAAAGATTTTCTTTTTCAGACATGATCCACTAAAACTATAACATAATTTCATTTTGATGCTTCTTTAAAATTCTTTGATGTAAATAACTTACACATTAAAAAAAGCCAAATTTAGTTTTGGAAATTACAGCCTGCATAGTTCACACAAGTTTACTTCCCAATCACACACACACTCACAGGCACACACACAGGGTGCTGCCCACCCTGGGAGCACAGCCTGAATTTGCACATGTGGATATATGCATTTGGGCTCAGACCCCAAGCAAAAGCCAGGAGAACAGCTGTCACTGTGTGAGAACTGGCTGGAAGCTGCAGGGAACACTTGTAGGAACTGTTGGGGAGCCCTCCTGCCTCTGGCCACCTCTGTTGGAGTGGGACAGGTAAGGAGCCATGGAGAAAGGTAGAGCAATTGTAGACAGGATGGGTGCTTCCCCAAGTATAGCCTGCTGCTTTCTTACTGCTTCCCATGGGCTCATTTCAAAGGTGCCTCTGGTAGCACAGCCCAGTTGGTCACTAGGTCCCATTTCCCTGGGATGAAGGTTTGGGCCCAGCTCAGCTGAGGGATCATGGAGGGTGAGGGAAAGAACATGAGGTAGAACTCAGGATGTGCCAGGCACATGACACCTGATCCCTCCACCCCACCATGGCCCTGGGCAGGATTCCTCACCCAACTGGGCTCAGAGAGGTCAGGCTGCCAGCCCACAGCTCACAGAGTGGGTGACTAAGGAGGTTGCATTCTGGCTTAGGTCTGAGCTGCTGAAACGCCCAGGGCCTGTGCTACCAAGGGGAATGTTCAGAGGAGACGGGGCTCTTCCCCTGACCTCACAGGCAACTGTGTCCTCAGACAGCTTGTGTGACAAATGGATAATATTTCCCATGTGTTCAGGAAGAGGGCAAGATCAGCAAGGTTCCCCCGAATACCCCCCCACTTTGGGGTACCACTCTCTGCAAAAAAAAAAAAGGTATTGTTTCCTTTGCATTCCATGATGTGTAAAAGGTTAGGAGGTAAATAAAATATAAGAAGGTTCTACTATGTACCAGGCTTCTTCTGTTTTTATTATTTGGCTCCCCTCCTGCCCAAGTACAGTCACAACACCCAAGGCAGGTGGACTCCTGGGCCCACGGCATCTGTGTTTTCAGCTCTGAATTAGGCCAGAGTATTCTGTAGCCCCAGGTCAAACCACTTGCACAGCAAAAAAACAGTCAACCTCTTAGGCATCTCTAACTAGTGCCGCCTACATGAAACGCTTGACTTTCATTTCACATGCAGAGTAGAAATAATGCTGTAGAAATAAATGCATTCTAAGGTGTGAATGGTAGACATAGGTCATTTCTTCCTTTGGCAGGTGTCTCTTGAAAGTCAGCTGGTTAGGAGTCAGAGGCTTGTCCTGGGCAGTTCACTCACCTTTTTGCCTTCTGTTGTGAGAATTAAATAAGGAAATATGGCTCAAGAGCCTGACGCAGTAAAACCTTCTTATATTTTACTTCCCAATCTTTTTACACATCATAGAATGCATAGAAAATAATACAATTTTTTTGCACAATGGAATAAAGTAGGATAATTATATGGGGCTTCGTGAAAAAATTTATTACCTTTCTATATGCATTTAATTATGTTAAAAATAATTTCAAAGGTATTGGGGAGGTATTAAAGGTGGAATTGATATGCCACATCAAAATAAAGGCTTTTTAAAAAACTTAATGAGAAACCTGGGCTTGCATTTATGTACATACTTTTTTGTGTGTAAGTCTATTTGCTTGAACCAGCTACAGTTACTGATTAAGACTTTTAGATTATTCCTTAGGTGAGTGAGTGAAATTGCCAACGAGTTCTGCAGGCAACTGGGATAGCAATTGTCCTTCCCAGTAGTCACACACATGCTAACCTCAGAAGAATTTGCATGAGTTCAGGAAGGTTTAGGTGTTAATGTCTTGGTGTTCAGAAGAAGTCGGCACATTTGAAATTTTCTGCAGATAATATGTTAGAGATTTGAGACCTAGACTCTGGCATGTAATTGCATAGTTGCTTTAGACTTGTGGTTTTAGGTTGAAATCTAAGTTAACAAACTGTTGGAATATTTAATAAAATATAAATTTCATCATATATCAAATTTAATTTACTTTATACAAAGACTCATTTAAGAGACTAAAAACCAATTTATTGTCAGACCACTGACATAATTAAAAAGGAAAATGAGTATATTAAACTTATAAAGGCAGTTTAGAATGTTGGAAGATATTTCCTTAATTAAGTTTGCAGTTGCACCAAATGTTGGCAAGGTATAGTAGTTAACCTTGTTCTGTAATCCCAGAACTTTGAGAGGCCAAGACAGGAGAATCACTTGAGCCCAGGAATTTGAGACCAGCTTGGGCAACATAGTGAGACCCCCCCCATCTAAAGCAAATGATTTTCATCAAAGGCCTATTAAAAGTGATTGCTGGCTAAACATTAATAGTAAACAATCCAAAAGAATAATTAAGAAAACAATTTCATGCAAACAGCATCAAAAAGAAAAAACAAATCAATTAAAAAGTGCAGATTTGTATACTGCAACCTACAAAACACTGTTGAAAGAAATTTAAAAACTCTGAAATAGAAAGAAATCCTTGTTCATGGATTGGAAGACCTAATATTAAGAAGGCTGTATTTCTCAAATTTATCTACAGTTGAATGCAATCCCTAGCAAATGCCAATGGGAAATGGCAATTTTGGAGAAATTGACAAGCTGACCCTAAAATTCAAGTGGAAATGCAAAGGAGCCTGAATAGCCCAAATGATTTTGA